ACTAAAATGTCTTAAAAATAGTAACATTTCAGGGACACCTGGATGGTTCAGTTCGTTAAGCCTCTGCCTTTGGCTCAGTTGATGACCCCAGGGTCCTGGGATCGAGTCCTACACAGGGCTCCTTGCTCAGTGGAGAGCCCACTTCTCCCTCTGTCTATTGCTACCCCTGCTTGTGCTCCCTCTCTGACAAATAAATAAATACAATCTTTAAAAAAAAATAGTGACATCTCAGTATCAGTATGTACACTTAGCATCTAGATAGATCTTGCCTTATAAATACCAATCTCCACTGTCTCAGCTCTGAAGTGGGAACAGTCTGGAATCTTGTATCAGAAAGTGAGAAGGTACTCCAAGATCGATGCAGACATTTCAAAAGGACATAACAGGCTTAATGGGGAGTCTGATGGAGGATTATCTCTCTCCCTCTGCCCCTCCCCCCACATGTCATCCCACATATTAAAAATTACACCAGGGAAAATGTATCTTTACAATGGAGAGATTTGGCAGCCCGCAATACCATAACCAAGTAACCCAACTTTGCCCTCTCCAGTTATAAGACAGATTGACATTATGAGCAAAGAGAAGTATACAATGTCACCTATGAGGTGTCCTTGCCAAAAAATTTAACCTGAGTCTGATCACAAGGATGCTCCCAAACAAATTCAGATTATATGGCATTTTACAAAACAATTAACTTGCATTTTTAAAAAAACCATCAGTGAAAAGACCAAAAGGGAAAAAAAAGCAGGGGAGATCTTTTAATTATGAATAAAGAAACATGGCAACCAAGTGCAATGCTTAATTCTTGATTAGATCCTAGATCTAAAAAGAAAAAAGAAAAAACACAGCCCTGGGACATTTGAGCTGGTAAAACTCAAATGGGGATTGGTATTAGAGAATTTTTTTTTTAAGATTTTATTTATTTATTTGACAGACAGAGATCACAGGTAGGCAGAGAGGCAGGCAGAGAGAGAGGAAGGGAAGCAGGCTCCCTGCCGAGCAGAGAGCCCAATGCGCGGCTCGATCCCAGGACCCTGGCTCGATCCCAGGACCCTGGCTCGATCCCAGAATACTGGGATCACGACCTGAGCCGAAGGCAGAGGCTTTAACCCACTGAGCCACCCAGGCGCCCCCTATATTAGAGAATATTATATCAGTGTTAGTTTAATTCCTAGGAGATAATGAAGTTATATAGGAAACTGCCTTTGCTTTTATTAAATACATATTACAGTATTTGAGGTGAATATTGTGATATGTTACTACCAAATTATCCAATAGTAATGATAATAAATAAAAAGTAATAAAGAGAAAAAGCAAATGCAACAAAATATTAACAATTGGTCAATCTAATTGAAGGGTATTACACTGGTCTTTTCTATAATATTCAAAATAGAAAATGAAAGGGAAATAGTCACTTTTCATTGATGATATGTCCATCAAATAGAATTCAATATAGTTATTAATGTTTTCAAGTAGTTTCTAAAACATGGATGGATATTTGCATTCTTTTAAGAAATTTTAAATAGTGAATAAATCAAATTTATAAAATTTATAAAAGATAATATAAATCACAGTATAGTGAACATTTACATACCCATTAAAATAAGGAACACTGGAGTCTTGTTTTCCTTCCTGATATCAATGTTTTTCTTCTTTCAAAGGTAACCATTATTCTGAATTTTCTGCTTATTATTCCCTTGTTTCATTTATAGTTTTGCTAATTCCTAAACATTATATATTAATTTATATTATAATAACTACATTAATATATAAACACAATAACTCCTAAACAATATATTGCTAAATTTCACAACCTTTAGAACTTTTGTAAATAGAATCTATGCATGTGTCCATAATTTACTTTTTACACTCAACATTACATCCCTGAGATTGATCCTGTTGTTATGTGTAACTGTAATTCATTCATTTTACTGCTTTTTAATATTCTATTACATGAATATATTACACATTTTTAAACAATCAGTTTACTACTGATAGACATTTGCTTGTTTCTATGATATAGTTCTGTTTAGGTCTTCTTTAATGTCATTAATAGTCTCATCATTTTCTTTATAGAGATCTTACACACTTTTATTCCTAGATACTTAATATTTTTATGTTATTGCAAATGTTTTTTTTAAAACATATATCCTTCTTGATTGCTTACAGCTAGTGTATAGAAATGCAGTCGATTTTTATAAATTGATATTGACTCTATTAACTTAACCAAATTATTTTTTTAAAGATTTTATTCATTTATTTGACAGAGATCACAAGTAGGCAGAGAGGCAGGAAGAGAGAGAGTGGGGAGCAGGCTCCCTGCTGAGCAGAGAGCCTGATGCGGGGCTATAATCCAGGCACCTGAGATTATGACTCTAGCAGAGGCAGAGGCTTAACCCACTGAGCCCCCCAGGCACCCCAACTTAACCAAATTCTTATGTTTTATTTATCTGTGGATTGTTTTGCATTTTCTATACAGACATATTATTAATAAACAATGATCATTTGTTTCTTATTTTACAGTCACAAGTGAAAAATATCAGGAAATACAAAATTACAAAATGTTAGGTAGCACAATATGCATAGGAAAAGACACAGGAAGCAATGCACAGAAATGTTCACAGTAGCTTATTTTGAGTTAAAAAATTATATTTTGAGTTTAAAAATTTTTCTTTTTAATATATCTCTATACTTTCCAGTTTTTCCAAGATGAGTATCTTTCACTTTCATAACCAGGAAAGAAACAATACTTAAAAATAAAGGCAAGTCTAAAACAAACTTTAAAGGTAAGGATTACCTACTAAAAATGCCCAGTTAGAAATTAAAATGTCAAGTATCTATGATGTGCCTGCTCCCCACCCAAATTCACCCCTGCAGGGCCAGATGGCCACATAGTCACATGTCATATCTAAGAGAACAACCTCTTAGATTCATGGAACTTTGTCTTTCCATTAGGGCATGTATGAAATTGACCTGTCAAAAGTCTTTATTCATTTGTTCTGAAATGTAGTCAACTCTTAATTATCCATAAGAAATATTTTTATTCTTTATGAATTACTTATGGTTTTTTCTAGTAAGTTACCATTAAGTTGCACTGCTTATTTCCTAGGGATAAACTTGGGAAACATAGACTTATTTTCAACTGGCACTCTTCTCTCTATTATACAGATTAAGGAAACAGAAACACCCAGAGATTAAGTCGGTTCTCTATTTCTCTGCTTACCTCCTCTATCACCTCCTCCCATAGTATGTCCTTGTCTTTTCATTGTGACACTTGTCAAAATTATCCGTCTTCTCCATCATAAGCTCCATGAGGTTAAGACCTCTGTCCTGCTTTCCTGTGCATCCCGATGACTAACACAATACCTCACATGGTGCCTGATACGCTCAGTAAACCACTATGGAATGTTGAATGAATTTTACAAGCAATCCACTTTAAGAAAAATCAGGATACCTGCCACATTACATGTGTGACTGGTTTCAGGTATAGTCACAGTAACATTTGCTACATTTGGGTGAAAATTGAAAACAATGTCTGGGTAAAATCTTCTCATGAAAAATGTTTGAAAGCAAAATGATCTTTCTGTTCACTTTTTCTTGTATAATGAATTTTCCATATGGTAAAACATTCTTCCTGTTTTCTTTTATACCATTTAGAACTATTACTATTACAATGTCTAGATGTTAATTGCATATAGTTGTAATTGAGCTGATTTTATCTGAAAAGAAAAGCTAGATAAAACTAAGTCAACATAACTCTATAAAAGTCTCTTAAATTAACTTGTTTCTTTTTAATTTAATTTTTTTTTCACATAGTTGTGGCTGGTGGGGATTTGGCTGATATTAGATGCTAAATAGATATCCTCTAGCTTTGGGAGCTCAGGCTGATCCTCAAGGCCTCCATAACATATCTAACCCCAAAATTAGCCTTCTGGTTCCTTCTCCTTGAAGGGCTGTGGGCTTGAGTCACAAGGCTCTCATTTCAAGGTCGGGGCGGGGGGGGGGGTTAGTCCTTCCCCCCCCCCCATGCAGCTAAAGGTCTGGAAGAGGAGGTTACCCTTGGTTTGGGGTTTTTTCCTCTAGCTTCATTGAGATATAATTGCCATATAACGTTGTGTAAGTTTAAAGTGTACAGTGTACACCTTGAGGATTTGACCTTTCTTTATATCGTAAAATGTTTATACAGTACGGTTAGTTGACACATCCTTCACCTCACATATTTATCATTTTGTCTCTTCATTTGGAAGGGGGATTTTGTGTTTTAACCGATTATACCAACAACACCTTCATGTGCCTCAAACTTTTTAGATGTTTGAATATAGAAGTAATTATATCCTAGACAGAGATAATGATACAGTACAGAAGTTTCCATTTCTAATATTTGCAGAATATAGTAATCTTGGGTAATTCCATTCATTTTATTAATTTGGTACATACTCCAATATTCATTGAGGACTGCCCATACTCTAGACATTATGCAAAACTCTCACTGTATAAAATGAATAAAATATTACCTAAAAAAGCTCCCAGTCTACTTATGGTATATTTGGACATCTTATGTTGTTTTCCTTTCTCTTATATATGTTTTGTTGCTAAATTTGGGGGTAAAGAAGGCTTATGTGATTATATTAATCTGGTCAAGAGCTATAGCTCTGAGTTGCCTATGGTAACTGTCAGTAGTAATATTTCAATACAAATAGAATTTAATTAGACATTGCCTTCATACATTCGATCGCTTCTACTTAGTGTATGAAGTTGTTCGTTCCCTGTTGCCCTTTGAGTGAGGTGTAGGAGATGGGGTGGGGAGGGGGGGTCTAAGGAAAAAGAAATCTGATATTTCCTCATCAAAATTCTGGTGGGGAATATACAAGAGAAGTATCTGCTCTGTAAAAACCGATACATACGGCTACTACCTGGTATATCAGTTGACATTGAACTTCAGTTTATTTCATTTATATATGTATGTGTGAAAAGATAAACACCTTTTTTCTTCTTGGCAGGTGTCCTTGTAGACTTGGGTCTGGAGGAAAATGGGACGGCTTATCAGAGAGCAGAGAAATATGTTGTTCGTCTAGACAATGAGATTCAAACCAAGTTTGAAGTTTTTATGAGAAGGGTAAAACAGAACCCATACACACTGTTTGTGCTGGTTCATGACAACTCCCATGTGGAACTAACGAGGTGATTGCTTCAGAGTGAGCAAATATAGCTTTTCTTCTAGCACAGCAATGGTTTTATCATAAATTCCCAAAAAAGCCCAGAGACCCTAACACTTGACATCTTCTTACTGGTAACTTATTCCTACTCCTTCCCTGTGCTCTCAACTTTCCCAACCAATTTAGTGTTGATTTCATTTTAACTATATTGTGAGTGAATTTAGATATCCCTGTTAAAGGGGTCTTGGGTGGCACAGTCAGTTAAATGGCCAGCTCATGGTTTCAGCTCAGATCGTGATCTCAGGGCCATGATTTCAGGGTCATGAACTTACGATCCTGAGGTTGAGCCTGGTCTTGGCCTTGAGCTCCTTGCTCAGTGGAGAGTCTGCTTAAGTTTCTATCTCTTCCTCTATCTCTGACCCTCCCCCTCCTCATGGGCTCCCTCTCTCTCTCTCAAATTAAAAAAAAAAAAGTATCTTTTATGAAAGAAAGGAAAGAAGGAAGGAGGAAAGGAGGTAGAGAGGGAGGGAGGGAGGAAGAAAGGAAGGGAGAGAGAAAGAAAGAAAGAAACCAACCCGTTAAAAAGCTGTCTTCAGGGTATTGTAGAACTCAGCTGTCTCAGAGAAAGGGCAACAGCAGGAGGGTTGATATTCATGAGCTCCCAGAAGGGCCATGTGCTTTCCTTTCTCCACTCTTCTTCCTTCCCAGTCCTTTTCCCCTTTCCCCACCTTCCTCTTCTCCTGTTGCTCCTCTTCCTTGCCTTCCTCTCTACCTGGGTACCTTGAACAGTAGTAAAGATGCCACTTAAAGATCTGAGAGAAGAGGTGCCTGCTGTCAGAAGAGCATATGACTCTTGATCTTGACTTTATGAGTTTGAGCACCATGTTGAGTATAGAGATTACTTTAAATAAATAAATAAATAAATAAATAAACTCTAAAAAATAATAATAAAAAAAAAGATGTTAGAGCAAATCTGAAACCTTCCCCAATTTACCAGTTTAAACAAGAGAATATCCTATTCCTCAGGTGGGTTTACAGTGAAAGAATAGTAAATGTGGCATGATGGAGCCAGTTTTGCTCCCAGACCAAATTACCGTAATTATCTGTTAGGGTGTATCTTTCAACTTATGGATTAAAAAGGCAAGTTCGGGCACCATCGAGTGTTCGTAGGTTTTCCTTTCTTTGGACACACTGAGGTTAAGCATATGAAAGATTTGGGCTTTATTGTAGAAATATCAGAATTGCAAAAGCACTTGTTCAAAAGCCAGAATGTGTTTGGAATTCTACAATCTGAACTCTAAAGCCGTATGCAGGCATAGATAAGATCTTGCATAGCATGTTAGAAAGAAGGAAGGAAAGAAAGAAGGTGAGTGAGGGAGGGGTGGAGGAAGGAAGGAAGGCAGGAAGAAGAAAAAAAGGAGATTGAAAGGGACGGAGGGAGGGAGGGAAGGAAAGAAGGAAGGGAAGAAAAAAGAAAAGAAAGAAAGAAGGAGGAAAAAGAAAGAAAAAAGAGAAAGAGGAAGGGAGGGAGGGAGGGGGGAGAGGGAGGAAGGGAAGGAATGAGAAATAGGAAGAAAGTAAGAAAAGTAAAAGAAAAAGGAAGGAAGGGAGGGAGGGACGGAGGGAGGGAGGGAGGAAGGTTGCCCAGATGCTGTTCAGTTTCTCCTAGTCTTTTTTTTTTTTTAAAGATTTTATTTATTTATTTGACAGACAGAGATTACAAGTAGGCAGAGAGGCAGGCAGAGAGAGAGGAGGAAGCAGACTCCCTGCTGAGCAGAAAGCCTGATGCGGGCTCGATCCCAGGACCCTGAGATCATGACCTGAGCCGAAGGCAGCGGCTTAACCCACTGAGCCACCCAGGTGCCCCTCTCCTAGTCTTCTATGAGCAAAAATAGCTCAGTCACCTGATGTACCTCATCTTTGAAAGTTTGGGGTAGTAACTCTGAGGATGTATATTGGATCACTCTACATTTAATTCCCCAGGGCACTGAGATTACGTCTTTGACAAAAAAAAAAAAAAAAATGTGGTTTTGAGGCTACATAACAACCTAGTACATCCAAACTGAACAGAACTGAAAATGATTCAGATATAAAAATTTTGGTCATGGGGAGGAAGGGGTTAAGTGGTCCCTCTGTAGCCTCCCCATAGTCTAACATGCTCAAGGGAGGAAAGAGAGTGACCTTAACACAGAGGGGATCCCTCGCAGTTTGGGGGCTTCTCTGGGGTACCAGTCATTTCCGTTATGAGCATCCTGATTTGATGGAGAAGCCTCGTTCAGATGAGTTTTCAGACCAAAGTGATCCATCTTAGCTATAGATTTATGTATCCTTGGCCTGTAGAACTGAGTTACACTTTGAGGTATAACAGAGGCAGACTGAAACAGGAAAAAAATATCTGAGATCTGTCTGAAAGTGGTAAGAAGGAGTGTCATTATTGCTCTTTTGAATTAAATGTTGGTTGCCTCTAATCCTGCTCCCAATTAAAAAGAACTAGAAAAACAAAAATGAAAACATTAGCTCCACTTTGATGTCTGCTTCTGTATCTAGTCCCTTCAATTAGGAGGTATTAACATGACTTTCAATATTTCTCCAGTGTCATTTCGGGTTCTTTGTCACATGGCGAACCCAGTCATGGATTGGCTGATAGAGTCATTAACTGCAGAGAAGTCCTGGAAGCTTTCAATCTGCTGGTGCTCCAGGTTAGCTCCTTCCCGTACACACTACAGACCCAACAGTCTCGAATCAGCTCCAGCAATGAAGTTCACTGGATACAGCTGGACGGCATGGTGAGTCTCTGTTCTGCTCTCTGAGGCACAGCCATGTTCTCAGTCCCCCAGGGAGCAGAATCTTGTAATAAAATATTGTCATGGTTCTGTAAAATAACATGAGACTTCAAAAATCTAACATTTATCTCCTAAAAGTTCCATATAATTACAATTATTATAAGTCTAAAGACTAGTGATTAGTGTCCTATATCAATCTGATTATGTTCTTTTTTTAGGTTATCATGCAGATACAGAATTATCCATCCTATATAGTTCCACCCCCAAAATGTGATACTGTCTTATACAGCCACCAATAATTTCAGGGGCACCTTGGTGGCTCAGTCAGTTGAGCATCTGCCTTTGGCTCAGGTTGTGATCCCAGGGTCCTGGGATCGAGCTCCCTCCCTGCTCATGCTCTCTCTCTCTTTCTCTCTCTCTCTCTCTCACATTATTTCTGTCTCTCTCTCTCAAATAAATAAAATATGTAAAAAAAATAAAATAAATGATGAATTTCAATCTGAAATTTGGAAATTTTGTTGTCCTTTTGAATAGCTCTTCTGTCATGTTTCAGTCTTACTGATCCATGACTGTAAATTACTCTCATGTTCCCCAGCAACTGGATTTTTAAAAAAGATTTTGTTTATTTTTTTGACGTAGAGAGAGAGATCACAAGTAGGCAGAGCAGCAGGCAGAGAGGGGGCGGGAAGCAGGCTCCCTGCTGAGCAGAGAGCCCGATGTAGGGCTCGATGCGGGGCTCCATGAGGGGCTCGATCCCAGGACCCTGGGATCATGACCTGGGCCGAAGGCAAAGGCTTAACCTATTGAGCCATCCAGGTGCCCCTGGATTTTTTTCTTGTAATCAGTTCTTAGTCATGGTTGAAACAGGATTGTGATACTGTTATTTTAAATTACTCAGTAGTCACACTTAATGTTTTTAGAGCAACCATCTCAAAGTTGTACAATAATATTCAAGACTGTATGTTTTTTTGGCTCCAATCCCTAACACATGGAAGATATTTTCTGTGACCTATATAGTGCATGATAAATATACTATCAAAGAAAAGAAGTAAGTGTTTCATAAAAAATGATGAAGATTAGCCCTTAAGCAATGGATTCTTTGTTTAAAAATATTGAACATTATGGGTATTTTTAAATAAACATTTTTAAATAAACAAGTAAAAGATGCCAGATGCAAGAATAACATTTAGGGGCACCTGGGTGGCTCAGTTGGTTAAGCATCATGTTCTCAGGGCCCTGGGATGGAACTCCACATGGGGATTCCCTGCCCAGTGGGGAGCCTGCTTCTCCCTCTCCCTCTGCCTGCTGCTCCCTGTGCTGTTCTCTCTCACACACAAATAAATAAATAAAATCTTAAAAAAAAAAAAAAAGAATAACATTTACTCATTTATCAACCCAGTGCATTTCATTCTGTTATGAAGTAGGTAAGTTTTCCCTGACTTGTAGCTCTTATTTTTGAGTATTAGTTTGTCCTTTGTAGTCAAGCAAGCTCAGGTGACTGAATCATGGTGGCATCAACCATGCCTCCCTTGTGCGAATTCAAGTGTGTTCACTATCACATAGAAATTGCTTTGAGCTCTCACTTTGTTAGTATCTTCTCTATGCCATCTTCATCAGTTGGATGTCAAATTCCAGGTGAGAGTAAGAGGCTAGCTCAGTTCTTTTGCCTCTCAAGTGTCAGGTACACCTGTAGACTACCTGTTGCCTCTCAAGTGTCAGGTACACCGGTAGACTACAGTTGCCCTGACATGGAACGGGATTGCCAATAAAACTTGTGAAGGGAAAAATTGTTTTTTAAGCCAACAGTTTTCCTATAAATGTTAAGTTTTAATATATTGTTGGGGAGGGGAGAAGAGAACTATCCTAATTAACCTTGTTGGTGTCATCTTTTCCAGAAGGGATCACACCAGTGATAGGAAAAACTCATAGCTTCGGCGCTTTCCCTTCTCCTGACATAAAATAATAGGGAAATAGGCTAAAAATAACTTTCCTTAAGAGTCATTCTTCTGTGCCTGGATGGCTCAGTCAGTTGAGCATCCAACTCTTGATTCTCAGGTCATGATATCAGGGTCGTGAGAGGGAGCCCCATATCAGGCTCCACACTCAGCATGGAGTCTTCTTGAGATTCTCCTTCCTTCTCCCTCTACCCCTCCCCCCACTCCTGCTCACTCTGTCTCCCTCTCTCTCTTTCTAAAATAAATAAATAAAACTTTTTAAAAAGAAGTCATTGCTATGATTATGGTTGCTTTTTAAGGCACAATAATGGTACTATGGTTATTTTTTAAGGGGTTCTTATTTGAGAGGCATCTAGTGAAGTATTTATGAATCAAAGATTGATACCTAGGATTTAATTAAAATAATTGAGGGATAGAGAGTTATTATACTCTAATTAAGGTTTTTAAAAAATCATCACTATGAAATTGAGATCAGCATAGAAGAAAGATAGAAACTTTGAACCTAACAACATACTTACACATTAGGGAAGAAACTCCTAACTATTAGCCTCCTTTTGTTATCTTGAGGTCAATGTCTTCAAAAAGGAAAAATTGAGAAAAGCAGAGTAATTCAATTCAAAAAATACTGAGCACTTGTGGGCTCGTGTTAGACCTTTCCAAGAACACACAGAGAGAACTAACTGCTTAAGGGAGAAAGAAAAGTACATATTAAGGTCACTGTTACGAAAGTAGAATAAGATATACATAGAGAAAATAGTTTGGTGGTTACCAGAGGCAGGAGTGGGATAGGTGAAAGGGTGAATGGGGTCAAAAGGTACAAACTTCCAGTTATAAAATAAGTAAGTCCTAGAGATACAGTTAATATTGTATGGCATATTTGAAAGTGACTACAAGAGTAGATCTTACAAGTTCACATCACCAGAAAAAAAATTACAATATATGGGCTGAGAGACTTACTCTGATGATCATTTTACAATATATATGAAGGCATACCTCATTTTATTATGTTTTGCTTTATTGCACTTCGCAGATATTTCATTTTTTACAGATTGAAGATTTGTGGCAACCCTGCATCAAGCAAGTCTGTTGGCACCATTTTTCCAACAGCATTTGCTCATTTCACATCTCTGTGTTACATTTTGGTAATTCTCACAATATTTCAAACTTTTTCATTATTATATTTATTATGGTGATCTATGATCATTGATCTTTGATGTTACTGTTGTAAACACGTTAGTAGATTTAGCATTGCGGCATAATGCCACATCCATGTAAGAATGTGAACGAAATAGCACAGCTCATTGACAATGCACTTGGTCACCCAAGAGCTCTGATGGAGATGCACAATGAGCTGAACGTGGTTTCCATGCCTGTTAACACAGCATCCATTCTGCAGTCCATGGGTCAAGGAGTGACTTCAATTTTCAAGTCCTATGATTTAAGAAAATACATTTTGTAAAGCTATAGTAGCAATAGATAGTGGTTCCTCTGATGGATCTGGACAAAGTTAGTTGAAAACTTTCTGGAAAGAATTCACCATTCTAGGTGATTGAGACATTCTTGATTCATAGGAAGAGGTCAAAATATCAGTATTAGCAGGAGTTGGGAAGAAGTTGATTCCAAAGTCATGGATGACTTTGAAGGATTCAAGACTTCAGTGGAGGAAGTCCCTGCAGCTGTGGTGGGAGTAGCAAGAGAACTAGAATTAGAAGTGGAGCATGAGGATGTGACTGAATTGTTGCAAGCCCATGATAAAGCTTGAATGGATGAGGAGCTGCTTCTTGTGGATGAGCACAGAAAGTAGTTTCTTGAGATGGAATCTACTCCTGGTGCTGTGGAGATTGTTGAAATGATAACAAAGGATTTAGAGTATTACATGAACTTAGCTGGGAAAACAGTGGCAGAGTTTGAGAGGATTGACTATAATTTTGAAAGAAGTTCTGTGGGTAAAATGCTATCAAACAGTATCACACGCCACAGAGAAATCATTCATGAAGAGAAGAGTCCATTGATGTGGGAAACTTCACTATTGTCTTGTTTTAAGAAATATCCACAGCCACCCCACCTTCAACAACCACCCTGATCAGTCAGCTGCCATCAACATCAAGACAAGACCCTCTACCCACAAAAAGATTATGATTTGCTAGAAATTAAGATGATGATTAGAATTTTTAAGCAATAAGGTATCTTTTAATTTAAGATATGCACATTGATTTTTTAACATAATGCTACTGTACACCTAATAGACTACAATATAGTGTAAACATAACTTTTGTATGTACTGGGAAACCAAACAATTCATTTGACTCATTTTATTGACCACCAGCTTTATTGTGGTGGTCTGGAACCAAACCGTCAAATCTCCAAGATAGCCCTATACATAAATAGAATTCTTATGCTATACACCTGGAAAACTAATGCAATGTTACATGTCAATTGCATCTCAATTTTTAAAAAAATCAAGTTGTACACCTTGAATGTATAGTTTTTATTAGTAAAAACAAAACAACGAGTAGAATGAGAAAATTTTAAAAAATCAAAATGCTCTGGGGGTTGAAAGGAAGGAGAAGTCCCACCCATCTGAGAGCACTAGGAAAGGCAACATGGAGAGAGCACTGTGGATGGGCATTGCAAGGGCAGAAGGACTGCGCTCAGGTACTCCTGGCAGCAGACCACAGAAGAGGAAACAGAGATTTTTCAGAGAACACTAAGGGGATGAAAACCTGGAAATATATAGATAGAGGCTTAAAGTGCCAGGCTGGCAAAGTTTACACTTATTACACAGGCATTAACAATTTTTTCAAAAGGGCATAGTATTATTAAAAACATAGTTGAGCCTTGAACAACACGGGTCAGAAGCACCCACGCCTGCACAGTTGCATATAACGTTGTCTCCCCCAAAACTTATCTAATAGCCTACTGTTGGCTGGAAGCCTTGCCAAGAACATAAAAAGTTGATTACCATCTATTTTGTATATTATATAATTATATACCGTGTTCTTACAATAAAGTAAGCTAGAGAAAAGAAAGGGTTAGGGAAATCATAAG